TGTTAAAACTTAGTCTTTGAATAGTGATATAATTCCTTGGCAAAATAACTGTATACGTATTTGTATATGAATACACATGTGTAAACACAGATGTGGAGGCCAGAGGTTAGCACATGGTGTCTTCCTCAATCACTCTCCAGCCCCTTCCTTTTTTTTTTTAATCTTTTGAGATAGACTGACTCACTGAACCTGGAGCTCATCAATTCAGCTAGATTTGCTGGCCAGTAAGGTCTAGGGAGCCTCTTGTCTTGACTCTCCCAGCCCTGGGATTAAAGACATGTTGCTCCATCAGGTGTTTATGGGGGCGTTAGGGATCTGAACTCAGGTCCTCATGGTTGTGTAGCAAGCACTTTACCCACAAGTCATATCCCCAGCCTGCAATCATCCCATTAAACTGTCCATCCCCTTAGCTTACAAAACAACTCATACTGAGACATAGAAGGCTCTCCTCCTCCTCCTATCCCAGCAGCTGGCCTGCACCCAGAATCTTTCCAAACCTGGTTCTCCAAACACAGAGCAACAGACAGATTCTAGGTTATGAGGGATATTAGCATCCTTTCAATACATTAGTATACAACATAAGTTACTCCAAGCCCATTTATGTTTGCTGTATTTCCACTTTAGATATTCTTCCTGGACCTAGACTCCACAAACAAGACTTCTTTCCTAACTACATCCTTCTGTTAGCTGAAATACTTATAAGCTAGCAGTCATCCAGCCCCAGGTACTAAGTTCAATTTCCTTAACACAGCAAATGAGGCCCTTGAAAATCTAATTTAGTAAAACTTATTAATGACATCAAAATGAGCAGCAAACTTGATTCAAAATAATTCTCTCCACAAACAGATCTTTGCTTTTAGTGATGGTTTGAATGAGAAAGCCCCCTCTGGGCTCCTATATTTCAATGCTTGGTCCTCAGTTGGTGGAACTGCTTGGGGAGGATTAGGAGGTGTGGCCTTATTGGAGGAGGTGAGTCACTGGGGGTAGGCTTTGGTGTTTCAAAAGTCCTTGTTATTCCCACTAGCTTGCTCTCTGCCTCCTCCTTGACAGTAAGGATATAAGATCTCATCTAACCTCCAGTGCTATGTCTGAGTGCCTAGTGCCATGTTCCTCACCATGATGGTCACGGCACCCCATCTGGAAATAGGAGCCTCCAATTCAATGATTTCTTTTAGAAGTTGCCTTGGTCATGGTGTCTCCGTCACAGTAAGAGAAAGGTAACTAAAACACTGTTCAAATCTTTGTCACCACAAATTGATCTATGAATAGCTAGAACTGGGTCATAAAGATTTCCTCTCCCAAGAATTTAAAATTTGGCAGGAAAGACCAGAGAGTAAGAGTCCTAAGAAACAGGTCCATACTCCAAAGCTGCAATTTTCAATCAGGAGCAGTTTTATCCCTCAGGAACTTCTGGAAATTCCTAGAAGTATTAAATGCCCTACACCCTCACTTTGTGGAATAGTCCTCCACAGCCAAGAAGTATCTGGTCTGAGATTGGAAGCTGACAGACCTTGCTCTAGGATAAAGGCCCAGGGCATGTGTCTTCTATATTCAAGGAGCCAAACTGGCTTCTGCGTGTCGTTTGTGGTCAGATCTTCCGATGAATCTGTGACCCACCCACCAGCTTCAACTACATTTCCCTTTTTACATAAATAGCCACGTTTCTGTTGTTTGCAGACAGAATAGCCTTAGCTAGCCAAGTATGCAGCCCGATCATCTGATATATGTCTGCATATTTTAAAGCAGTTTCTCAGCTTTTCTGCTGCTGGCATTTGAGTGTTTGTTTTACAGGTCTGTGCTGTGCATGACAGTGCCGAGCTTCTCCACCTGCCAGGTGCCAACAACACCTTCCAAGTCGTAATAACCAAGCACACTGCCAAAGGCCCCCTGAGGAACAAAGTGTCAGTGATTGGCAATTACTGCTTCAAACAAGAGAAAGATAAAGGCCCCACCCAGGTGAGGTGCAGTCTACCAGGCAAACTCGTCTCCAGAAAAACCTGTGCAAAACAGACTATGTCCCAAGGCTATGGGACAGAAAGGAAGCATTTGTACTTGGATCTTTCTTATAGCTTTCAGGTCCCAGTGTATCTTTTGTCCCTGTACATATACCTACAGACCTGTACACAGAGACACACAGTAACAAATAAAAAGGTCTAAACGAGTTCCTGCCTGACCTTCCTTTCTTATATTTGTTTGAACATTTTAAAGAACTTCATATTCCCTTATGGGGGAGGGAGAAAAGATTCCCCTGTAATGACCTTTAACACATACCCTGTTCTAGTCTGTAATTTCTCCTTGAAAGGCATTTCCTGTTTCCTTTCTCTCATCACACTCCCCATATTTGGGGTTCAGATCATCTTTCAGATCAGTCAAGGACACAAACTTCATGAACACAAGAGGCACTCAGAAAACAAACATTAGGCAAGAAACAGAAATATGGACTTATAATACATCATTCAGTATTAAAGTATGTGTCAGTCTCTTATAGAACAATTCCTCATCCACACTTTGCAATATGCCAACTTCAAAAGTATTGCCCAGCCTCCAATACTGCTAGCTTCGAACTTAAAACCTTAAGGTTCATTCAGAGTGATCATTCTCTTTTTCTAAACCAATGCTTTTCAACCTGTGGGTCACAACCCCTTTGGTGTCAAATGATTCTTTCATAGGGATGGCATATCAGATATCCTGCATACCATGTTTACATTACAATTCATAACAGTAGCAAAATTACAGTTATGAAGCAGCAACGGAAATAATTTTATGGCTGGGGGTCACCACAGCATGAGAAACTGCACTAACGGGTCACAGCGTTAGGAAGGCTGAGAACCAGTAGTACAGACAGACTTCTTCCTTCCTGGAAGAGTCCCTTCAGAAGAGCCTCTAAGGACTTGGACATTTTCCTAATTCCTTTATTCTATGACAGGACAGGAACCAACCTCCCTCCCCCAATGTATTTCAGTATTCAAGGCTAGCCTCAAACTCAGTATGTTGCTAAGGATGGCCTTGAACTTCTGAGAATGACCCTGAATTGATCACCCCAGCTCCTGAGCAATGAGATTACAGAAATTTATCATCACACACAGTTCATAAAATGTTGGGGACTGAACCCAGAGCTTCTTGCACAGCACTCGAGCACTCTACCAGCCTGGTAAACTGAGTCCCACCTCCAGAACACACATGGCGGCAGAAGAGAACCAACTTCTGCAAGCTGTCCTCAGACGCCCATACACTGGCTAGATCAGACACATATGCGCACACTAGGAAACACAAAGCAAGGAAATGTAAAACCAAAACAATCTCAAAAATACACTGCAAATGATTTCTCCATTAAAAAGAAAGGAAACGCTAGTGTTCTGGAAACTGTCTGATTTGAAATGTTCATCACTATTTACCACACAGGCGTAAGAAACCGTGAAGATCATATGTAATCCTAAGTACTTAATTCTAAGTATGTGGATATTAGCTATGTGATAAAGGAAGCCATTACACTCCAGCCCTTAATCTTAAGAGTTCTTCCCAAATGGACTTGTACAAGAGAATTAAAGGATAATGCCCTAAGGCATTTATCGATTGAATTAAATATTCTTCTAGGCACACAGTGGTAAAGTACCATTATCCTTGGGAAAGAAATAGGAAATCAAACCATTGTCTATGGATCTGAATTTTCTTACAGAACTAGAGCCAAGAAAGGGTAAAGTGTATCTCATATAAATCAAACTTACCTAAGTAATAAGCATTATTTTAAAGAAATAAAACTTTCTTCCAAAATAAGGTGGCTCAGTATTGCAATATCTATACAGTTCTAAAGGAAAATTTCCAACTAGGCAAGGGGTCACAGACCTCAGGAAGTACTCAGGAAGTTAAGGCATGATGACACTGAGCTTGTGGTAGCCTAGGATGTGTCATGAGTTACAGGACAGCCTGAGCTACATAACCTGTTTCAAATACACACACACACATACACACACACACACACACACACACACACACACACACTTTCTAATTAGTGATATTACGAGCCAAACACATGGTCACAAACTTTCTTATAGTTCAATACTTTGTACATATATACTATGTATTAAATTTTATTCAATCGAATGTCAGGGAAATATCTGCTGAATCATAGTATTGTTTTTGTTCAGTATGTTCTCAATGTATCACCTGTAATATAAATAAATCGGGAGAATGAAGACATATTTACTATACAAGTCTATCATTATACCCGAGTACCTTCCTTTAATTAGTTAAAAGTATTCATTAACTTACAAATAACAGAGGAGAGAAAGACATCCTAACCAAGAGCCCTGAATTCCCTGTCACCAACTTGGAACAGGATCCTACATTTAGCCTGTGTCTTGAGACAAATATGGAGAAGCCCAGAGCAGTAACAAACTGCCAGTTTACTGAGTCATGTTCCTGACTAAAACTGTGTTATGAAATGGAAAGAATGAATCGTCTTAGGTTCAAACACCAGAGACGTTCACTCCCTGAATTAAAGGGTCTCGGAAGCAAAATCAGAAAACTCTTCAGCAAGAACGATACGGGAACTAAAACGACTCCATAAAGAACTTGCCCAGGCGGAGAACTCTGCTTATTTACCTAAAACAAATCCCAACTGTGCAAACAAGCACACCCTCCCATGCATCCGAGCGGGAACGTCAGGTAGGGGACACCGAGAACAATATTGCAAGGTTAACGTTTCACTGGGAAGCAGCCTCAGCCCCAAGAGTCCACAACCCCCCCCCACACACACACACACGCAGTCCACGGTTAACGGAACCGCTCGGCGCCGAGCCCGGGGACCTTCTGAGCCCGACCCGCTTCTGGGTGACGCCGGGGACATCATTGCGGCGGAGACCCCCGGCCCGCTGAGCCCCGCCACCCTCCGCGCGACTCGAGGGGCCGGTCGGGGGCGCCACCAGCGACGGGGGCGCCGGGACCTGTGCCCCCGACCCGGGGCCAGCGGACGGAGGGAACCGGCTCGCACGCTCGCTGACCTGGAGAGGTGCTTCAGGATCTGTTTCTTGATGATCCCGGCCATGGTGCCTGCCCGGCTCGAGCGCCGCTCTCTCGCTGTGCCTCACAGCTTCCTCTCTTCACGGCGGTCTCCTCTCGGTCCCGCCTCACAGGGCCGGAGGAGAGGCGCCGGAGCGCTCGCTCTCGGGAGAGACTCGAGGCCCTGGCCGAGGCCACAGCCGCCGCAGCCGCCGCCGAGAACCCGGAGCATGACGCTCAGGCCGCCGCGGCCGCCGCCAGCGCCATCTTGGCTGCAGCATCACCTAAGAGACCGGGGGCGGGGAGAGGAGCCGGGGGCGGAGCGAACTCGGGGTTCGGCGGAACCTGTGGGAGTTCCGGGGGTCTAGCCGCGCCCCCTTCGGACTCCTACGGCTGCTGCCCTGCTTCTGCAGGATCGCTTGACTCCTACTCCCGGGAGCTTCTTACTGGGGCTTTCATCATTTCTTCACCTCTCCCTAATAGTGTCTTTGCCTCCATCACTGACTTTTCTCTTTCACGTCTTACTTCCTTTCCTCCGAACTCAACTTTCTGCTCCACAAATAGCCCTGTTGGTGTTGCTCTTTGGACCATCTCAGCTTATTACTCAGTTTCTTTTCTTTTGCTATGATCTTTCCCTTAGCCAACAGCTGTAATTTAATGTTTCCCTTAGTTATTCTAACCTTAAAGCATGTTCTATTTAGCAAAATGTATCTAAAGACCTAGAAATGACAAGGTCTGGGGTCCGGGAGATGGCTTAGCCAGTAAAAGCGCTTGCAGTGCAAACCTGATGACTTGAGTGAGCTTGGTGCCCAAACCACCATGAAGGAGAGAACTGATTCCCGAAAACTGTCCTCTGGCCTCGGCTTGTGCGTCCCTGAAACACACACACACACACACACACACACACACACACACACACACACACACACACACTAGAAGTTTTTAAATGGAATACCCAAATTGAAGTCCTGGTTCTAATATTTTTCTAGCTGTGTTAACGTGGAAAAATTGTTTTCACTTTTATTTTGTATATGTGTGTGAATATTGTGTAACTTTGGGCACACAAGTGGATGCCAGGGAGCAGCCCTGGGCAGCAGTCCTTACCTTCTATCTCTTTGTTAACAGCTGCTTGCAGACTCCAGGTGAACAGGCTCTCCTGGGATGCTCTTGTTGGCTCTTGTTGCCTCTCTCATCTTGCCTAAAGAGTGCTGGGAATGCAGACACCTGGCTTTCTGTGGCTTCTGCAGATTGCAATTCTAGTCCTCATGCTTGGGTGGCAAATGCATTGTCTGCTAAGCCAGCTCCCCCAGCCAGTTAGCCTCGCTATTTTTTTTTTTTTTTTTTGGTTTTTCAAGGCAGGGTTTCTCTGTGGCTTTGGAGGCTGTCCTGGAACTCACTCTGTAGACCAGGCTGGCCTCGAACTCACAGAGATCCGCCTGCCTCTGCCTCCCGAGTGTTAGGATTAAAGGCGTGCGCCACCAACACCCAGCTAGCCTCAGTTTTAATCATCTCTTGTACGTGCCTGAGCAGGGGCCTAAGCAGGCACTTGTTGGTGTGTCTGGGCCATTTTGTTGGTCACCTGTTACAGAAATAGGTTTTGGGAAAAGATATAAATCACTAAAATGCTTCCTATATACTTGGCAGATAGACAATGCAGCCATCTGAGGTGGAGAAAAAAATGGTATTATAGTTAGCAATGCAGAAAGCATGCCAGGTTGGCAAACAAGAATTTGCCACAAATATCGTGTTTGGATGAAAGCAATCTGAGATATTTGAAAGTAATCAAGCTGGGTATGGTGACAAAGGCCATCTCAGCACTTTGGGGATGGAGTAGAAGGATTGTTGTAATTTTGAGGCCATCGTGATCTACATAGCAACATTCAAAAACAAAAAAGAAATTAACTGCAAATTGAATATTGAACTACTTGGACATATGATCCTTAACAACAACTCATTATAAAAATATCTGTTATGGGACCAACTCCCACTCATGGCCTGGCCTTACTGCAGAGCCTTTCTAGAGAAAAGAAGGCCTCCTAGTGCTGACCAAATCTTGTCCCCAGCCAGGTGACTCATCCACAGTCTCCACCCAGAACACTGCTTTTCTCAGACCCTGTGCTTCAGGAAGATAAAGTTCCTTATCCCCAGGCCCAACCCCTTTCTTCAGCTGACAGTGTCGGGCTTATCTTCAAAGGAATTGTAGGTAGAAATCAGCTGTATTTACAGAATAAATGTTAAGAGCAGCTTCTGATTGGATTTTACAGGTTACAAAAGCTTTTTTTTTTCTTGAGTAGCCGAACCTCTTGCTTTGTCCTGATTTTGAATTATTAGAACAAATATAGAAAAACAAAACAAAATACAAGGAAGTTAAAATATTCTTAAGGCCCAGGTCAGACTCGGAGCACAGAACCAACTGGATGGTCTAGTGTAATTCAAACTACCATCACCCACAGGTCCCTTTCTGTAAGAAGTTCCTGGGCTTCTTACAGCGTCATAACAGCCTACATTAGAAGTTTTAGTTTATTTGCACTCTGTGCACACGTGTATATGTAAAAGTTAGGAAACAGATGGGTGAGATTAATCTTTCACCACTTTAATATTTGGGGAGGGGGACTTTTTAAAGGCAAACCTAAAGGAAATGTATACCATTTATCTTCTGGTTACTTGAGAGGTACAGCTGTTTGATGTGGACATAAAACTCAAGTGTTAATTAGTTGGCTATAGTATGAAAAGTTAATTTTAAAAGTTGAAAATGCATGATGGTACATGCCTGTAACTGTAGCTAGTAAAAAAGCAAGACCAAGGCCAGAACTGAGCAACTTAATGAGATCTTGGCTCAACAAAACAAAACCTGGGTGTGTAGTTCAGTGATAGAAAGCTACCCTCCATACATTGTTAATAAGTATTCATATTTTTAGTCAGCATTTTTAAAAGTTATAGGCAGATATAGGTAATATAGATAATCACTGCACCTTCTGCTAACTCAGATATGGATACATATCAGAAAGGATTATTTTCAAAATAAGCTAGGGAAAAATGAAAATAAACTAGGGAGTTATAAAAATACATCTGAGATACAAAAGCAGTAAAAGGATATAGAGTAATCATATGAATTTGTCTGCTTGGCTAAGTTTTTGTATCTAAATAAATGAATATGTAAAAGTCATGTGAAATTTTCTCTTTAAAAAAGGAAATTGTTGAAATAGGAAAAGCTGTTACATTCTATGCCTCCATGTCACCCAGCCACAACTCAAGTGTTTTTCAGAGACAAAGGTGACCACAGAGTTATGTCTAAAAAAGGAAAAGAAATTGCACTACCTCCTGAGGGTGTATCAGGAAGGTATTTGGGTTTGGGGAGATAGTTTATGCATAATCTAACAACCTGACCCGTCCTAAGAACTCACGAGCATGCGCAGTTAGAAAGGTACCACATGCCTGTAGTAACAGCTAATCGGGGTGGACCAGGAGGACCACGTGAGACCTAGAGTTTTAGGAAAATGAGGGTGTGTGTGTGTGTGTGAAGAATAAGAGCAAGAACGAGAGGGGGGGCGGCACCCTTGAGAATGGAAACGGTAGCATGTAGGTTGACTTTGACTTTAACATTTAATCATATACTATAAAACAAGGCCTTTAAAAATATCTTGGGCTTTCTGGTGGTGACAACCTCCCTATAATAATACACCTCTTCAAAGGAATACCTCCATCCCTCTCCAGAAAGCAGAGAGGAAATAAGAGCAGTTCTTCCTGCAGAGTCCCAACTCCCAGGCCATGGCTCTAAGAGTCCCAGGCTGCTGGAGAGTCACCACAGCCCTTAACGGGAAGTAGGGACAGTATCTATTTTGGCTCCTCTGTTCTCCTCTGCCTGCCTCTAAGGGGAGGAGCAAGGCAGGCAGAAGGATGTTCCTTCTGGAGGAATCAGGATAAAAAAGCACCCTGAGATAAGTGAAAAACCATCCCAATAAACACGTTTTGGATATTAAAAACAAAAACAAAACTTGAGTTGCCTAAATGAAGTGGTAAAAGCTGTTCTTGTTGTGGGAAGAGTAAATATTCTGGTGTAAATGTAGAGCCCTGTGTGACTGTAGCTCAAATGTTGCCTCAGGCGCTTTTTGTTGCGTAAACTTGGGCAAGGTTTGTTTTGAAAAGCTTTTCCAGGCTGTTATTTCACTTAAGAGATAATAGCATCAAATTTAGGTCATTTGTGAGAGCTAAATGAGATTATGCACACAGTTTAACACACGCTGGTTTTGTGATTTGTAATTGTTATTAGGAGACAGCAAAGCATTGCAAGACCAGATTCAGGAGGGTTTACAGTAGAAACCCAGGAGCAGTCTCTCTCAGTACCAGTGATCCTCCCCGAGCTCTTCACCCTCTCCCCCCCCCAAACCTCTCCAGTTTAGGAGCTGGGCTTTGCTTCCCTTCCCCCAGTTTCTGCTCTTTATATAACCTCAACCATTTTGGCTACATAGTCTGCTTGTGCCCCCTCTCCTTCTCTAGTCCGTGTCCACTGGCCCACGTGGGGGGTGGGGGAGCTTCCTCCTTCCCCTCCCCTGCCCATCCCGGTCCCTGTCTCCTCTCATGGCCGGGTTCAGTCTGCTGGCCTGGTTCAGTCTGAAACCTCTTGCTGTTTTCTTCCTCCTCAACCACACCTAGAACAGTCATGTCCTCATTTGTTTTCATCCAGATATATTATTTCAAAAGATGAACGAGCCACTTTAATTTGCTTGAAAAAAAAAACTGACTTTGAAATCCAAGACTTGGGTTTGAAAGACAGCTTGTTAAAGCGATTCAGAAAAGTGCCCTATACAACACAACAGAAAGGCAGCTACTGGTGACTCACTAGGCGGAAGAGAGTGATTTAAGCAGATGGGACATAAGTGTGACAAAACACTGAAGTGTGAAAGTCACAGCTACAAATGGTTGGAGAGCTAATGTGGTTAGAACAACGTAAAAGTTCCTTTTCAAAAGAGTAAGTGTTAAAGAACCCATGTCATTAATTACAGTCACAGTTTCATTGTGGAAAATGAGTGATAACAGTTTCACACTTGCTCTCCCTTGATGGAGAGAATTCACACTACCTCAAACTAGTACAAATAGAATGATGGTGTTGGACAATTTTTTTCAAGACAGGGTTTCTCTGTATTGTTTTGGAGGCTGTCTTGGAACTTGCTCTGTAGACCAGGCTGGCCTCGAACTCCCAGAGATCTGCCTGCTTCTGCCTCTCAAGTGCTGGGATTAAAGGTGTGTGCTTTAAAATTTATTAACATGCTTAGTAATTGGCAT